CCCACTGCTCTGCCTGTTTGCCACGATGATAAGTTCCAAAGAGCAGGAGGACCTTTGCTTGTCTTGTTCCCTGCTGCCTTCCCTGGGCCCAAATTGTGTGCAGCACATAGCAGACACTTGATAAATCACTGCTGGATAAACACCAGAAAGTTGTTCATCCTCACTGGCTCTCACATTGATACTTTTTATTACTTTATTTTTGTTTGTAGTTGTGGGTATGTTTAATGCAAATGACATGTATTAGTACAAACATTTACTTTTTGTTGTGTAGAATTATGCCAGTCTCCCAGAAATGTCTTTAGTTGAGTACAAATATCATCTGTTAACAGACAGAGAGAGCAAACTACCTGTTCAGGCCTCCTGGTATAGGTTGTGGAGAGCACACACCGCAGGTGGGACGTTGGTGTGGGGTTCTGCTCAGTGGGGAGTGAATGCCTACTTTGTATTCTCTGAACTACCCCGTGATGTTGTAGATCAACTTGGATCTGATGTGTCTCATACTTAACCATCCCCCAGCAGCCAACCTGTTCCATTTTCTTTTCATTCCCGCCTAGTGTTGATTTTATCCCATTATATTTAGACAGTTTTTATTTCAACTTTTGGTTTTTGTTTGGTGTGTTGTGTGTGTGTGTGTGTTGATTTGTGTTTTGATTACATACTAACATTGGACTTTCTAAAGCACCAAGTTAGGGATGAAAACGACTGGCCTGAGGTGTGAAGACTGTCTCGGCATGCTACAGACTAGCTGGCATGTCTCTGGGGAAGGCTTCACGTCTGTCTGGGGCTTAGTCTTTTCTTCTACAAAAGTGGTGGCATGAATACAAGACCTTCCTTTACAGGAAAGGACAGGGAACAGTGCACCGCAGAAGGTTCATAAACATAAAATATCATCATTATCAATAAGTATTGATTAAAAATATTTATATTTTAATTTGCACAGGAAGGCAATAGTGGTTTTTAATAAAATTGCAGGTGAATAGCCTTGACTCTTACTCATAGCTGCATTAAACTTCATATTTTACTCCTAGTATATACAAAAAAATGCCCTCAGTTTAATGCAAAATACAAGATAAGCAGGTGTTTGGCATTTCTGCCATGTGAATTCAGTGTTCTCTTATTGTTGTGTACTGTAAACTGTGTACGAAACTGGGGCAATGTTTATATGGAAAAAATACACCTGTCTTGATCTTGAAAGTATTCCAAATATTTAAGAGCACTTTGGCTTTTTGTTTTTTAATCTGTAGTTAAAAAATTTGGCAGATAGCATAAATTTTTGTTGTTCTTTTCATTAAGGTCTAGCATTGGAGTTTTTTTTTTTTTCCACAATTTCATGTCGCAGGAAAGATATCTGCCATATAAGTATAATTTTACAAAGAATGAATATAATGAAGTATTTAAGACTGCTTGAAATAAAAACATGTTTAAAAGAGGACTTGGTGAAATCATCATACTAAAAATTTTAATGTAAGTCTTAGAAACTTAGAAAAGAATGCCTCTTTAAAAGGCAATTTTTTTTAGCTTTAATATGCATTTATTATTATTAATTAATTAATTTTTGTTACAGATGTTTCTCTTTTTCCCCCCACTGATCCCCCCTCCCCCTCCCTCCCTGCCCTGCCCCCAGCCCCGTTGTCCAAGTACATTGTTCATGCATACATGCACATAAGTTCTGTGGTTTATCTTTCCCCCATGACTTCCTCCCCTGGGGATTGTCAGTCTGTACCCCACTTCCACGTCTCTGGGACTACCCCATTTCTCAGACTGTTATGTTCATTATATTTCACAAATAAGTGAGATCATATGATACTTGTCTTTCTCTGACTGACTTGTTTCACTTAGGATAATACTTTCCAGGTCCCTCCATGTCGTCTCAAAGGATAAGAGATCTTTCTTTCTTACAGCTGCATAGTATTCCATTGTGTATATGTACCACTGCTTTTTTATCCATTCATCTACTGATGGACACTTGGGCTGTTTCCAGATCTTAGCTATTGTAAATAGTGCTGCTACAAACATGGGGGTACATATATTCTTTCTGATTGGTGTTTCAGGCTTCTTAGGGTATATTCCTAGAAGTGGGATCACTGGGTCAAATGGAAGTTCAATTTTTAATTTTTTGAGGTAACACCATATTGTTTTCCATAGTGGCTGCACCAGTCTGCATTCCCACCAGCAGTGTACTAGAGTCCCCTTTTCTCCACACCCTTAACAGCACTTGTTGTTTTAAAAGGCAATTTTTACCATAACCTTTTTTTGGGGTAGAGTGTTTGTTATTTTTCATACTTTGGTTGATTAACAGGAAGCTTGGGGATATCTGGTGGCAATGGTATTTTATTTTATTCGAAAAATCCAAAGTATTAGAGAAAGTGGTTGATCTCAAATGTGGTGAATTGAATTAGTATAAATGCACACACGTGTGGAGGAACATTTAGAGAGAATTTAGCATGCACCAAGCTGTATGCTTGCTTCTCACATGTTTTGACACAATGAAGCCACAGTGACACTCATGCAGTTGGTACCATTATATTTCTATGTTGCAACTGAGGAAACCGAAGTCCATGGGCTTTCCTGAAGTAACAACTCGAATGAATGACCAGCAGGGTTTTGGACTCGGTCGGGTGGACTCCAGCGCTCGCCCCTCCTGCCGGCTCCATCCATCTGTAGTCCACAGCTGCTCAAAAGGACAGGTCTGCATGTAGTGATAAGGCACAGTCTCCAAGGCAAATTATCCAACCCCCAAGACATATCGTCAGGAGAAAGACAAAGTGTGGGGCAGTGTGTGTTACATGCTACATGCTACATCTGTCTTAAAAACAAAAAGTATATGTATCTTTATACATTTTCTTTGGAAATTCCTTAAGGTTACCGTTTGGGGCCTTGTGGGACCAGGGTGACAACAAGACTTACATTTTACTAAATATCCTTTTGATTTTTTTTTTTAAGTTACCAGTCCTGTGCACAAGTACTATTTTAAAATCCATTTTTAAATGACATTGTTAAGAACTAGTGAGAAAAGTCATTTATCATTACAATTCTGTACATTTAAAAGCTGCTTTGAGGACATCATATCTGTCTATTTTAAGCCACGAGACGTGGGACAGAAACCCTGTGCACGAAAGCATGTTCACGCAGGAGACGGGTCCTGCCTGTGCTGCTCATCGGCTCTGGGGAAGTTACTCGTTCAGCATCATCAGACCTTCATTTTCTGGGGCCTCAATTTTCTAAACTGTAAAATGAGAAGAGTCAACATGCTGCCTTCCAACTTGTTAGAATAAGTTCTAATAATTCCAAAATAAGTTATAAAGAAGCACTGTTTTAAAAGATTGAATTTGTGGTGAAAACTGAGTGAGTTCAGGAAAAGATCTCCGTCTTGGCTCTTGGTGGACAGAAAGGCACGTGTCTACTCTGGTGTTACCTGTTGGCGGCCGCATGTTGGAATTGCAGTGAAAGTTACCGAGAACAAGCAAAACCCTTGATTCGAAAACAGAATATCCTATCTGTCATAATGACTGCGGGGACATTTCTTAATATATGAATGCAGAGTGGTATAAAAATCAAATATACGTTGCATTCAAGACTGACCATTAAACGATCTCAAAGAATCTTTTGCTCTTGATTTGTAGAAATCTATCAAGCATAGGTTCTTCATAATTGACGATAATTTCAGTTGCACGAATCATAGGCCTGCCTCGTTTTATTGCACTTTATTTTATTGCGCTTCACAGATGTTGAATTTTTTACAAATTGAAGGCAAGACCCTCCACCAGCAAAAGATTTTGATTCACTTTATTGCGGTGGTCTGGCACCAAATCCGCAATATCGCCAAGGTATGCCTGTATAATAGAGGTTGGCAAACTTTTTCTATAAAAGGCCAAATAGTACAATCGTATGCTTTGTGAACTATATGTTCTCTCTCGTAACTACTCAGCTCTGCACAAAAGCATCAGTAGACAACACATAAATGAACGGGCATGGCTGTTTTCCAGTAAAACTTTCTTACAAAAACAGGCACTAGGCCAAATTTGGCCCATGTGTTAGAGCTTGCTGACCCCTGGATTATTGTAAATTCCTGCCCCAAATTTCTCTTTACCCTGTATCCTGAGGTAAGTTACCAGATTGCCTCTCCTCTGATTCCCGAATGTGGGAATAAATGCGTTCCTCCTACAACCCCTTCCCTCTGTTATCCATTTATAAATACCCGGTTTGCAAATGCTGCATTCCATCAGGGCACCCTGATGCCCACCGATTTTAGTTTTACAGGTGGCCCGCCCTTCTTTCTTTTCGCTCTGAACTGATATTTTCTGAAGACAAGTAGTTGCAGTTTTTTTCTTTCTCACATTCCCCTTGTTGCATTACCATTTTTACGTGATTTTAACCTTTACCCTGAAAATGTTTTGCTCACATATCTTTTGTATCTTGGGAATTGTGGTCAGCCTTGTTTAAAATCTTCAGGACATGACTGGTTAACCTCTTGCTAACGTATTCTTCCCTTTCTGACGGGAAGCTCAACCACATTTAACAAGCGACTCCCCTCAAAGAGTAGGAGTGTCTGGAGGTAGAATTAGACTTGGCAAATTATTTGGGAAGATAGATGTTGGTCTCTGAACTTAGCGCATCCCTGGAGAGATCCCTGCCTTAGCCAGGAGAATTGGGAACAGCCTTGTCTATGTAGTAATACCTGACTCCAATCCTAGACAATTCCCTCCCAACCTCCATCCAGCTCCCATGTTTATCCTCTCCCTTGACGCATCGCTCAGCCTCTGTCCCTTCTTCCCTCCCAACATTCCCAAATTCCAGAACTTCACCTGCCACGGGCAAACTTGATGTTGGCAAAACTCTTACTTGTGTGCACTAAGGCTCATAGATTATTAAGATTTACCACATGCTTTAAATTCGCTGCTTTTCCTATTTGGCAATTTAGCTGTAGCCCCGGATAAAGGTGATTTGTGCGATCCATCTTGCTTTATGTCTCATTTGACATTCTGCCTTTTTCATGACAGGTTGCTGAATGCTATAAAGCCAGGACTTGTTAAAAAGATCAATAGATTGCCTACCCCCATTGCAGGATTGGTGAGTATCCAGAATTGAGATTTATTTTCCAATATTCCTGTGCTCTAACCTAAGGGTCATGACAGTGCCATTTATTACAGTTTTCTCCTGCAATATATATTCCACTTGAATGAGAATGCATTGAAGCCATTAAACTAAGAGGTCACTTAAAAATGAAAGATTGCAGTTGTGCCTAAATGTCATCTTAATCTTTGTTTGTATTTTTCCTATGAGTGATAAGAACCTTTCTTTTTAAAGAGGTAAATTTGTTTTGGGTTGAGAGGTGCATAATTAGGTTGACCCCAGGGCAGGAATGTGACTGCAATTATGGTTTCTCATTTCAGTTTTTCACTGCATTCCCCTGGAATGGAGGGGGGACGAGGTAGAGAGAAAGAGAATTTCATGATTAACAAGCAGCACATTCATGATAAATTGCTGTTTCCAATCTTAAAAATCTACTTTTGTTTAAATAGCACATTTGTGGACCAAGTCTTCTAAAGACAGAGTGGATACTGAGATGACCCTGATGTCAGCTGGAGAAATGTTTAAACGAGCCCTTGCCCTTCAGAACCTACCCATCTAAAGCAGATGAGCTCATGTGTTCACATATGGTCAGAAGCAGGCTTTTTTTCCTGCATTAACATGGCTCATAATTCTGGGTAACTAATTTTAATTATTTAATTGATGTTTCCTTTTGTGTATAAAAGGAAAAAAGGTGGAAGATCATCAAGACAAATACATCTTAGTTGTGAAAAGAACTTGGCACACACACACGTGTGCACACACACAATGTGCATGAAAAGCTGAGAATGTATGTGCCCTGGTAAATGACTCACTGACTGTTTCCATTGTGACTGCCTCCTGTGCATGTGGTTAACAGTTAGAAAAATGTCAAGAATTTAGGCAGGCTCCTACAAAGACCTTACTGATTGTTGTTAAAAAGTTTTATAGACGGATCACAATGACTCATTAAAAATAGATGTTAAAAAAACCCAGTTGTGTCAGGGTCGTGGTAATAAGTTTTAGCAAGTTGAATGAAATTGTTGTTGTTTTTTTATTATTGTAAGAATTGCTATTTCTGAGAATGCATTTTATTTCCCGTACTGGTTAGTAACAAGTTAATGAATGATTAGTCATTAAAAGTCCTGCCAGTTTTGTTCATCAGAATCATGTAACCAAGTAAGTTAATAGATGGTAGGTAGGTAGGTAGGTAGGTAGGTAGGTAGGTAGGTAGATAGATAGATAGATAGATTTGGAAGAAAAGATTTTGAGAATTTTGTGAATAATTTGTATATATGTATATATATATAAATTAACACAAAATATATATATTTTATTCTCACCCGAGGACATATTTTCATTTTTTGTTCAGATAGAGTGGGAGGGAGAGAGAGGAAGAGAGAGAGAGAGAAACATCGACGTGAAAGGGACACATCGAGTGCCTGCCTCCCGTACAACCCAACTGGGGCCGGGACAAACTGCAACCAAGGTACATGCCCTTAGCAGGAACCGAAACGTCTCTCTGGACCGCAGGCCGATGCTCTAACCAGCCAGGGCAATAATTTATATATTATATATTGCATATATTAATATGTAATATATAATTTTTAAATGTTTTATTTACTCCATTCTTTCCAAATGTTAAGGTCTTAATAGTCTTAATGATACTGAAAAAATTCCATTTGGCCCCAAGCCTGTGGCATGTCCTGACCTTGGAGCTCTGGGATTTAATGTTATAAAAGCAAAACTTGCAGGATGAAGTCAAGAAAGGGACACTGTTAAAATCTATGTGAACAGAAGCAAGACACTCCAAGACCAGAAACTGAGGAGAAAAGGGTTTTGAACCCTTAATTTAAAATAAATAATTTTAGTAAAACTAGGGTTATGGGACATGTGCATTGACCATTAAATCATTTCTGATTGTAGGTCACTTGTTGATTTTTACATATTACCTCTACTTGGGAGCAGGCAGGCATTTGGTTCAAGACAACAATGGGGCCCCCATTGCTCTCCATTATATCCTTGACTTTCATTTCTCCTCTTTCCTTCTTCATTTCAGTTTCCTTCCCACCTTGTCCTTTCTGTAATTTTTCCTGTTCCTTGCCCTTTTCCAACAAACCTTTCCCCACTTACTTGCTCTTTTATATTTTCCTTACCAATTTGTTATTGCGATGCCGTGATTTATAATAAGAGATACGTATTTGGCGCCCACTTCTGGCACAGGGCTCTTGAAACCCTTGGCTTTCCGAAGCAAGAAGAGCAATGGGAGCATCTTCTAATAATATTTGTTCTCTTATCATTGGTTCCTGAGATAGCTTCAGTTTCATAAGGGTTGAAGGTGGGACTTTATATTCGTAGCTGGCCCCATTCGGCCGCACCTGAGTCCATGTTAATATGATGACTTGGAAAGCCTGGCTTCCCACAAGGCTGGAGGCTGGTTGCCAGGAAAACCAACCAGGTGATTAGAGAGTTGACTCTTTCAGCCCCACCCCACACCCAACCTCCAGGAAGGGGAGAGGTGATAGAGATTGAATCCTATCACCACTGGCCAGTGATTTAATCAATCAAGCTCAGGTAATAAAGTCTCCATAAAAACCCCAAACGATGGGTCGTGAGCTTCAGGTTGCTGACACTGGGGATTCGGGGAGAGTGGCGTGCCCAGGGAGCGTGGAAGCTCCGTGTCCTTTCCCACGGATGTTGTTCTATATACTTCTTTGTTTGGCTGTTCATCTGTATCCTTTATAGTATCCTTTATAATAAAATGGCAAACATAAGTAAATGTTTCACTGTGAGCCACTCGAGCAAATTAATCAAACCCAAGGAGGGGGTCACGGGAACCTCTGATTTATAGTCAGCTGCTTAGAAGCACAGGTGACAACCTGGACTTCTAATTGGCATTTGGAGGAGGGTGGGCAGTCTTGTGGGACTGAGCCCTTCACCCAAACCAGCTGATACTATCTCCAGGTAAATAGTGTAAGAATTGGGTTAATTGCTAAAGAATCCTTACCTAAGTATAGTTAATTACTGCCCATTTACTAATATCCTGAGTCCTGGTCAAACTCTTTTCCTGTCTTCTAATTACTTTCAGGTCAACATTTCCAAAAACCAGTGTAGCAGTTCGGGGTCCTGCAAGAAACAGACTCACTAGCCTTCTCCTCCTCATATCCCATTCTGTTCATGTGCTTCTAGGGTTCTTTCTGCACACCTGCTGTCTGTTCCCGTTCTAACACTCGCGTTCTTGTCTGTCTGCATGACTTCAACTCTTTGTAGCATTGACCCAAATCATTATTTCTCACCAAGTTTTTTCTGAACTCCAGACCTCTTGTTCTGTTTATTGGACAGCTAGCTCCATCTGAATGTCCTACCAGCATCTCAAACTTAACATATTCAAATTAAACTTAACTGACTACTCCTGCCCACAACCCCTATTTCCCTGTATCAGTAAAGGCATCATAGACACGCAGTTGCCCTAGTTCAGCTATTCTTGGCAACTTGCTCCAGTCTGTCCACTGGTCCACATTTCCTTGGCCACTAGACAAGGACTAGAGCCGGCCTTTTTCATCTTTTGCCTGATTTATTATAGTCAGCTCACGGTCCCTCACACATTATTCACTCTCATGTGTGGTGCCTCTTCTCACAATAGTTCTTAGGAATACAATACTGCCTCCTGCTCTTCTTGACAGAGTCTCATTTACTTATCAAGACCTAATGCAAAACTATCATCTCGGTGTAGCCTTTAGGGTCGCAGGTCCATATGATCTTTTATTATAGAATCGAGTTAGCATTTCTGGGTTTAGGAGAAAATGAGTTATATTAGAGAGGTAAAAGATGGCTCTGTTGAATATGCTATCAGGGAAAAAGGTTTTGAATAACCGTTGTTACCAGTTTGAAATAAAGGTGCGTAAATGGTTTAGTATTCATGTTACGACATGGTAACTTTAAGCAGTCACTTTGCCATAATCAAACTTGTCAATAGCCTTAATGGGTACAAATGATGTAAGGTGTCCTAGTGGTGTGCCAAGAGGTCACAGTATCGCCTTGATAGAATGTCTGCCAAAATATTTTGCCTAAATCCAATTCTGAGGAAACAGACGACTCTGAATTGAGAGACATTCCCTTAAACAGCTGGCTGGCACCGTCCACGGTCAGTGTCATTGAAGACACCTCTTCATCCCCGAAATCCTGGAAAACCATGTCCGGTGAAAGGTGACTAAGGGGATAGGGACATGTGACAGCCAAGTGCCATGTGTGACGCTTGATGAAGAAAGCACAACTATAATAGCCATTTTGGGGATACTTGGGGAAGTTTGAGTGTGGATTGAGTATCAGATAATAGTATTCTCTCAGTGTTGAATTTCCTTCATATGAAAATTATCTGGTTAAAAACAGTTGCGTATATAGGGAATACTATTGATGTTGGGGGTACACAAGCTGGAGAATATAGAGATAAAATGTCACAATACGTTCAACTAATCTCCAAATTGTTCAGCAAAAAGAAGTCTGTGTGTATAGTATATAATTTTATACACACACACTCACACTCACACACACATGGACAGAGGGGTGGGGAGAAAGAGAAAGAAAGGAGGGAGGGAAAAGGAGGGAAACGTAGTAAAAAGTTGGATCTGGATAAAAGGTACACAGCTGTCTTGGTCCTAATCTTGCAACTTTTTGGTAGGCTTGGAAATTTATAATATAAAAAGTTGGGAATTGAAAGATATTAATTCTTTTGTCTATTTTTTGAGGTGGTGGTGGTATTTCAAATAAGCAGTACATTTTTTTTTTTTATCCTCACCCAAGGACATTTTTTGCATTTATCTTCAGATAGAGTGGGAGGGAGAAAGGGAGGAAGAGAGAGAAACATCGACGTGAGAGAGACACACCGAGTGGCCACCACCCACACGACCCCAACCAGGGCTGGGGATGAACCACAACTGAGGTACGTGCTCTTAGTGGGAACCGAACCCGGGATTCTCTGGACCACGGGCCAACTCTCTAACCACTGAGCCCAACTGGCCAGG